TCACTTATATATCCAAATATGTGTTTGTTATGTAATGGAATTAATGAATGAGACGATAGTAATTAAATGGTGGACAAGCGGGGTGAGGAAGAAGTTGTTATCGTTAAAGAAATGGTTATGGTAATTGCTTTTTATGCAGGAAACTTTTCAACTCCTTTGCTAATGCTAAATAGACTGAAAGTGTTGAATGAGATTCGGTTAAAAAGCAATTAACTGCGAAATCTTCAAGAATTCGCTATATTTGATTTTCTCAGAAAATCAAAGGTGTTATTGGCGTACATTTTGAGTACTCTCTTGAGGAATTATAGCTTCTGTGAGTCTGTAAGCAAGTCTTACTCAACTTTCTGATATTGTTGATTTTTCACCACTCTTCTTCCGCATCCTTCACAAGTAATCTTCTGGGCAATATTTGTGTGTCTACCGGTCTGTAATCTGATTAAATTTGTTCACAGATTCAACATCCTTTCTGTCCACTGCATCTAATTTATGTTAATAAGTATATGTTTTCCAGGATCGTTTGTACACTAAGCTAAATATCCCATAGTTTCTCACTGCCAATCTAATCTCAATTCCAGCACAAGTCCCTGAATGGAACATGTACACAACACTTGAGAGTAGACACTAACCAAATGTAGTATCTGTTCACGCTTTCTTTCTTCTCCACGTACGAAAATCTCCCTCTTCGTCATCAGCATGGAAAATTGTGAGGAAGTGCCGTATGAAAAACAGAAAGGTTCTCATTCAATTACCAATAAGAAATTGTGAAACATGTGTAGCATAAGGGAAATGTGCGATGCTGGTGGCAGCCACTTCAACTTGTTATATGTAATAATGCTTTGAGCAATTTTGCGCCTCACACTCAGCGCTATTTGCCCTAAGTATTGGGAGAAAACCTAAAGAATCGATTTATCTTGTGCCGAGAATACAACATCGTCCCCTGAATGGGGATAGTGCAAAACGAAGTTTCCTTATTGCCATAATATTCCACTCCTTCGCTGGCAGAACCCCCTTCGGTGGAAATTTATAGACAGATATGTTCTGAAACTACCTGAAATCCGCCCACGATCTCAACCGTTGCGGGCACTGAGAGAAAAATGTTGGAAAAATATGAACACACACTCAAATCCTCTTGGATCTTACAAAAAAGAAACATATTAAAGCGCTGAAGAATGATTAAATGAGCATGCAAAACAAATATCCGCCTCTTCTCGCTTTACATTTGATGGCTTTCTTCAAATGTGGGGGAAAAGCTAGAAAGTCTCAACATAAAGACTTCCGAAAAGTAGTATCCAAGTGGAAATTCAACAGACATTACAAGTAATTGAGTTATTATGGAATAATTGTGACAATTAATTCTCATTTAAATTTACGCCTTGGCAGACAGCCGCTTCTGGCCACCGGAAATAGACATTTTAACGTCATAAATTTCCTCCTTAATTGATTTTCCGAGTGAAATTTGATCTCCTGCTCTTCCCGCCTACTTTATCTTTTGCTCTCAATTTCTCAACTGTCTGCCACCCTCATTCACACTTGTTTCCCACCCATCTTGTATTAAGTGTTCCACATAATAAATACGGTAGTTAAAGTTTCTCCCAAAGTTTTCAGATTGCAACGCGGTTCCCCGTGGAAATTTATGGATTGAACTCACCAACTTTAATTTATAGACGTGTTATTTTCGTGTATTAGCGGTTTTAGATTGGAAAACATATCACACAGACGACAAATGTGTCCGATTTTGCAATATATTTTTATATGTTCTACGAATACATGGAAAGTAGTGAACATAAATCTCGAAATATGCACAAATTGACCCACTTTCGTTCTAAATAACATTGGCAGACAATGATAAGTGTATATTTGACACACATATGTACTAATTAGAGGTGAATTTTTGCGGTTACCGGAACGAAATCAAGATGTTTGGCAATTAAAGAGTACAAAAACCCATTTTCACTATCTTCTTTCCACTGTTCGACAAGAATCGTGCAAAGGGTAAAACTTTAGAATGCATTCAAATATATTAAAGGTCCTTTCAACCATTCTTTCTCACTTGTTTTCAGTTTTCCTGTATACCTGTAAGATGTATTCGTCTTTCCTTACGTGTGAGAAGTGAATCGGACGCTGGTGGTGGGATATTTGGCAAAAAGGGTTTTCTCTCACTTTTTTTTGAAGGAGTTAAAAGTTTTCTTCTCCCCAGAATGGTGGCTGCTTGACGAGAATTAATTGAAAAGTTTCTCGCCTTGTAAGAATGGATATGTATTGTGCAGATGAAGTGTTGGGATATTTATTTCCGCGGCATTTCGAATAACATTCAACAAAATTTCATTATTGCTTTTGAAGTGTCAAAATGTTTGAAGAGAAATAAAACAAAAATCTGTAGCTTTTTCAACTTGCAACATCATTTAGAAATCAATGATAAAATAGTGATTTAGTAGCAGTTCGTTATAAGAAGAAATCTACCACAAAAGCTCCTTTATTTCAAGCTATGAATCACTCTGAAGAAATATTATTCTAAGTTCTGGGACCGAATGTTAGTTGTTCCAGCGCAATTCTTCGTAGCTGAAAGACCATGCATGCTAGTTTATTTTTATTGCCTTCTCTTATGCACCATTTCTTTTCCTTTTGCATCGCTTTTATTTCTTTTTTGGGCGAAAATGGGCAAAAATGCACCCCGCCCAGCAGCAAGACAGGGCAAAGTGTGAGAAAATGTTGCTCTTAGTGACGCCGTGTCGGTTTATTTACACTGAAAACTTACTCGTAAATTAGATTTAAAAGTTATTTATACAAGAAATTCTAGAGAAGCTGCAATCATTACGCTTGTACCATGAGCAGTGGTTGTAATTTTGCAATGAAAAACAGAGGAAAAAGTGAAATATGGCGTCATGTTTGGGTTTTTCATCTCTTTCAGGAATCTCCTTGGCTGACGGAGGCAAAAAAAATATAGGTGAGCAGCGTTGGGAAGAAGCCATTCCCTCTCTTCACTGTGCAGATTGAAGAAGTTTTGCGGGGGGGGGGGGGGAGAAAAGGAAACAATACTCATCTTGCGGAAGTATAGAATATTGTTGATCTTCCTCGAGTAATCTTGTTTTTCCCTAAATAGATTCGCCATTTAACGGACGTCAAACTCGACTTAAATACAACTCTCTCTCTCTGAAAATCACTCGATAGTATGTTTTAGGCAAACAGAAGGGTGGAAATATTAAAGTTTGTCGTCAGTATCGTATGTGTTGCGCTCTGAAACTGATTTCAACGTTTTATTGTTGATTTTGATAGTCCTCCAACTGGCGCCGGCACCATTTAATGACCATATCCGAATTGGATACAACTCTCACAAAACATACTCGCACATACACACGCCACTGTCACATGGAATACGATATGAGGGTATAAATATTGATGGAGAAATGTTCTTGGAGTTGTTCCACCATGAAAAGATGTTTTAAGTGGTGTTTTCAGCATATTTCCCCAGCACCCCACAGTCTCTACCCCTCTCTCTCTCTCTATCTTCCTTTTATTTGCTCCAGTCGCATGTCGGTGACATATCGTTTTGAGATTTATAGAGGCTTTGCACTGCGCCACCGAGATGATGATAATAATTGAGCACTGAGAATTGACTAAGAACTCCTGAGGAGGAAAGCTGGCAAAGGGGGCGGACTCAGTGCTCAAAGTACCAGTACATGCAGTGGATTTTCCACCAATTTATCACACTATTTATCTCTTGGATTTATTGACTCAGTCTGCTTCAAGTTCAGAAAGTCAATTTCGCTCTGAAATATGTTCAAATTTTCGCTATAGGCACCTACACGCTCGTGAAAGTACTTTGGGAAATGATGGGAAAATTGCCAAAGATACAGCATCTAGGGTAGCTTTCTTAGTCGCTCTAAGTGCATGTTATAATAAAACTAATAGTATACAATGTTTCTAAATTGTAATGTTTCTCTCAGCTTATAAATTTCTATCGAAAATTGATAGCAATTATTTCGCAACAACTCAAAGAAGGCGCAGAATAGAGGTTTATATGAACTCTGATAGCATACTAAATACAATATTTTGTCTCCAAAAGAATATTTCTTGGACATTTTTCTCTGTCAATATCCCATGGAGTGAGAATACGATGACAGTCACGGCACGTGGAAAGATCATGTAATTAAATGCTAATTTCCATAAGAAGGAGAATCAAATTTAATTGACATTGATGAGATTGCTTCGTCGAAGTCTTTTCTTTGCAATAACAACGAAGCAAGATGGGGATGCTGTGCTGCTATATTCTCTCGTCACAGTATCCTTCGCAACCCTGCAGAACTTTAATTGCAAATTGTGAACAAATGTTCGCTTTTGTGAATTATAAATTCTGTAGATCACACGAGATTAAGCTTAGTTGTTATTTGAATGGGGGGCATTGATGTGTTATTGTGGTGCATTTTATTAAATGAGCTGTATTTTGCATCGTTAATAATAATGAGAATTAATGGGATGCAAAATTAAACATTTCAGCAATAAACATTTCGATGTCCTGTGCGAGCTGTGCAAATGTCATTAGATTGGAGGGGGTATTATTTTGAATACTTAATAATGCCAACAAGTTGGTTTTGGTAAATAGTAACCATTCATTTAGGAGATTACATTAAAATACTCTTTCTATTATGAATTGAATTCGCACAGAAGCGGAACGGGATTATTGGCATTTATCCGCGAATGCAAGTAATTATGCGAATATGTGAGCTCCAATTCAATTTCATAGCCAGAATGTGACAGATTTTCTAACCATGATCCTTAGGCCACGTCATCCACTCTCTGGTTGGCCGGGTGGTTGGCAAAGCCACTTGTGTCGTGTAAATGAAACAACCTCGCATGATAAAAGTTAAACTTTGTTCATAATTATTCTCGCCGGTCGCAATAAAGTTAGGATGGTTGGATGATGGTGCTCTGCCACCTCCTTTTAATTATTCAATTTACCATCTAATTAAAAGTGTTATATAAATTCATAGTGTGCCGCTTACCTGTGACAAGATTGGCATGGTGAAATTGACAAACTGCATCTGCCTCGAACCAGGAGATTTTATCCCGGAAGAAGCGGTAGAACACGGAGAATCCCTCCTGAGGCAATGTCCAAGTGTTGCTAATATTTACCTGGAAACGAGTAAACAAGACGATGGCATATTATTAATTTACTTGATTAATTTTCCACCGTCTCGTGTACACATTGTACTATAGCCTGTCTCTCGTGTCTCTTGCAATTCCACGCCCTTTTCCGTCTTCCCGCCACCCAGCACAACTCCGATTTGAAGCCCCCGATATGCAGGGGAGTGTATTAGTACGTCCTCGCAGGGATCTGCACAGGAGCTCTCAACTCAGCTCCATTAAGGGACTAATGATGAGCAGAATTCCACTCCGCCAAGAGTGAGACTCAGTGTCTCTGACACGAGCACACACTGCACACACAAGTTTTGGCATCGCGCAGGAAATAGCGTAATATAATTTGATTAAAACTGTTGAATAATATACCTCACGACTCAAATCATATTCCTCATGATCCAGAGCGCGCAACACACTTCAAATGGCGTAAGTCAGGAAAAGCTTCGTGCTCAAGGGTGATGTTACTAGCAATTCTCACACAAACTTTATATAGCGCACAACAGCTGTCGGAATGCAATTGATTAATTAAAAGTCAGGAGGGGGGCAAGAAAGATTTTGGCTTAGAATACCATTGGCTATATACTCTTCTTCTGATAACAATTTAATCAAGATGGTCCAACTTTTCCCCAATTTCGCTGCAACTTAGCCACATATAGTAAATTTCCTCGTAGCGCAATTTCTTTTCAACATCTGCGATACTTGGTGAAACTCAATTAATCTAAGCGATTTTAATTAAGAGTGTAATTGAAGAAATTTAATTATTCCCCTCAAAATTTCTCCTTCACCCAACTTTTAGACTGATTCGTGTTTAAATAGAAAATATACTTGACATCTTCTGCCCCATCGTGTAAATACAATGGCTAATCAGATGACAAGGGGGAGATAATATGGCTAAAATCTGTACACCACTTCCTGGCACATTTCTTAAACTTCTTCAGGACTTAAAGGCATTCTTCATCGTCTTACGAGAATCATAGAAGAAATCACAAGGAAAATTCTGCTATTCGTGATAAATTGCTAATTTCTTGTCTTGATTTTATCAGCCATAAAACTAAATTAACAATTTTGATTATGAGATTTAAAAGTTCTCAATCAAGAAAGATATTTTGATAGATTTTTTCCAGAGTGCAAATTGAAAGAAAATTATGTTCTTGCCCCAAAAAATGTATCAATTCGTTTAGAAACGGCTCTCCAAAGAGCTGTACACCACTTCTGCCCATAATATCTCCCCCTTGTTACATGACTAACCCATCAACTTTTTAGATAGTCTACATATATGAGAAATATGGCGCTGCATATCTCATGAATGCTAAGCAATTTTAATGGTGTCACTCATGGTGTGGGACTGCATATTCCCCAGCTCTTGGCAAGGTCCATGCTGTCCCTGCAGCAGCATGCAAGTGAAGTCTAAAAAGCTCCATTTCAGTGCATTGGTTACTTTAGATGGAAATTTATAGTTACAAGAGAACCATTATTTATGGACGAGGAAAGTGGTAACTATTGGCTGGCTGGGCATACATTTGACCTGAACTGTCACTCGGCCGTATATATTTTCATTTTGGAAGGTTGATTTCAGGACAATGCCGTGCACGGCGCATCGGGACGACATGAGGGATGGACGATGGCAGCAAATGTAGGCATTAGATGGCCGAGGGTGTGACAGACTGAGGAATTGGTAATGAATTTTGGATGCAGCCGATGTTAGAGACTTACTGCATGTCTATGCGACAAGCCACCTCTATCATTTGAATGCTTTGTGTGCTTTGCGGAGTGGAATTTGTGCAGGAGAAGAGAAATGCAATGTTTTATGGGGAAACAGTCTTAGTCATAACATTGACAAAAAGACGCGCTTATGTTTGTTTTTAGGGTGTTTCTGAATATTTGATTCTGTGCACACAGTTTTTGAGACATTCGCTTCGAAGAAGAAAAGAAATGGTTGTTTTATTTCCCTCGGAATAACCCTTTTTCCACCACAAAATTGTGAGTTATATGATGTCGAAATTGTGCCGTGGGGACAGACATTTTACATTAAATTTGCAACACATACAGCATGAGGGATATTGACGAGGTGAATGCATTCCAGCACACGAGGACACTTGGGGATATGTGGGTGAAACGAGTTTGGAAAGTTTGCGCGAGAGGTTTGCAATTAGTTGAAAAATTGATTCTCATATTTTCAAATAAACGAGAAAACTTTTCACAAGCGCCCAAATGAGGATGAGCGCCCCGGCGTGGCTGAAGGGTGTGCTGTGTTCTGTAAATTTCTCCAGCAATGTCGATGATACCACTGCGCTGTGTAAATATTTACAACCTCTTAAGCACCATCAGACGCTCTTTCTGCGAGCTGCTGTAGTCCTTCGCCGGTGTTTGTCTATATGTGCTCGAAACTAGCATGGGAGTTTGTATGGCGGAGATCGTCATACACAGGGCATTACATAAAGTTTCCGCACCTTATATCTCTCCCACGCCGGGGCGGCGGGTCCTGTGGGTGGGGGATGTGATGGAGGAGCGGCGGTGGAAAGAAGCAACTTATGTTGCTGCTCCTTATAAGGAGCAATTGCCCTAAAGGCACTCTCCCTTCCTCGTCTTTTGTTTGGCAGCGTACAAAGTAAATATCGTCAGCTTTTGAAATTGCCATGCACGCGGTGTGGGGAAGAAGAGGAAACATTTTCTTTAAGCCCCGAAGAGTATTCGCTTTAACGGTGGCCACCATAAATATTTTATAATGCAATATATAGTGTTAAAATAACTAATCCGGAAGTCAAATGAGTGGATCACGAAGGATGTAAATGAGACGAGTTTCACTCTTCATCGTGGTGGAATAATATGTATTTATTCCGTGGCTGGGATTTTCCAGTACAGAGAAGAGTAACACGAGCACACCCCATTATTCACTTCTTTTAATATCACAAATCCATTTATACACACACCCCCTAATGCTCAAATAAACACCTTGGCTGAAAATTTTCATAAACATTTCACTCTTCTGCCGAAATCATTCTACTTGAAACGCATAAATCCCGATAATGACTTTACACAGCACTTAGTCACATTTTCCATCCTGCTATGCCATCGGAAAGTGTTTCTGATTACACTGAATGGCTTTGGAATTTTGGGAGATCAAAGGTTTTGAAAGTGCAATAGCGTTACTCCTTCGGGCAGAGCATCAATCATTTGCACACACTCATTAAAGGTTGTCACGAAGTTCGATACAACAAACATGAGAGAATTAGTGATTCAGCGCTAGAGATGAGAGTTCATCTCCTCTTTTCACAACTTACTTTGCTTAATCGTACACGAAATTTCGGTTGTTGCACACTGACAGCTAAGCTTGTACTGAGTGACAGATTGAGATGAATTTGCAATGTACGTAATAAAAATGTCATGAAGTCTTGTGGACAGGATAAAATGCTGACTTATGCCTGATGATGAGCGCAGGAAAGTGTCAACATCCAGGAGATTTGAATAAATATGCTTGTACATATGTGTACATGATATTTCATATATGGATGCATCGTTTGTCAGTGACGTGATAGTGAATTTTGGGTGTAATTCGTCAATTTTTTTTTCTAAATTGCTTCACTATTTCGTGTTCACACCGGAAATTGTGTTGATGACAATGTATGACGCCGCCATTTGTGTCTCTGCACTGAAATTTCATTTACATTTATAGCAATGTGACGTGAAATCATAAATTGTCCACGGGCGGTGGAAGCCACCAGGCGCCTCCACGGACGCTGTCGATAGGCGAATTAGAAAACTACTTACAAAGCTCAGTTTTCCGAGTGGGAAAACGATTTCTGGCACTCAGTGAGGGGAAAGAACTAAATATTGCCACAGGAAATCCCGAATGTTGCCATCCGTTGGGGGAGAAATGGCAAAAAATACTATATATTTCATGTCTTATCTTATCTCCTTATGTATTTTGCTGTGCTTTTCACGGGTCCCAGTGATACTCTCTCATGTGAGGATGAAATCATAAAAGGACGCATCGCTTTTTGAGGTGGTTTCCCTCCTTTTGTGCCTTTTTTAATGTACTGGAGGGAGTACTTGAGCCTAATCGGGGGGGGAATTTTTGTGTTTGTTGCGCCACCGGAAAATCATATGAGCTCTCCGCATCCGACGAAGAGGTGACGCCCCGCAGTACAGCATGAATTCGCATAAATGTACACAAGTCCATTAATTCGAGCAACATTTTAGCTCCTGGGCAGAAACATCTATTCAGAGCAATATCACATAAATTTTTATCGCTAAAGGTAGCAAAAATAAAATGAGCAGAGCTGAACAGGAGGGAAATTGAGTGAATAAAAACGTTATTGGTGATCAACATCGTAAAATTTCATGATACTTTCGCATAAAATTTATTGCTTCTCCTCGATATAGCAATCCTATAATCGTCAGCCGGAGCTAATTAATTTAACTCCTTTCATGTAGGGTCATCGCAACGATTACCCCCGACTCCGATGCTGTGCTACTGCTGATAAAATGCTAAGTATATTGAGTGTGAACCCAAGGTTAGATTGACGAAGACTCCGCGAATCGACGGAAGGCCTGAAGGTGGAGTTTTCGAATGGACTAAAAAAGATCCAAAAAGCCGTCAAATGCCGGCGCATAAAGATGCGAGAATATTTATATTTAATAATAACATCTCATATTTAATTCGATTTTGCCCATTAATTTGCGAGATATTCCTGCAGGCAATATGGAACGTGGGTTGTCCCATAACTTGGCGTATATTACGGTACTCTGTGATACCCTCGCAAGACATCCCGAAGAATTTATTTTACAGTCTCGTGATTTTCGTTTAACTCCAAAATGAAATGATCCCACCCATGTTTGCGGGGCGAAGATGGAGCTGGCATAATGGGGAAAAATGTATTTGGGTGATGACAAGTTTCTTTTCCGGAAAAAGTAATACGCTTTAAGATTGTTTAGCCTAATGCCACGTCTGATTAGTCTACTGTAGCGATGTGACGTTGCTCCTGAATCCGAAC